CCCCCCCCCCCTCCCAAAAAAATGGGCCCCATAAGCATATGAGTTTACATCCTACGTGTGTTTATAAACTGTTGATTGTACTGTGTATATTGTGTACTCTGTAGGACTGTACAATCAGAAATAAATCATATAATTTCATATAATTCATTTAATATGAATGAATAATAGGATGGGTTGCCGGCCGTGTTGGGCCATGTTGCAGCCATGTTATGGTTGCCGTTTTGTGCTTGTGCGCTCATCATGTTACCATGTTGACTGTTGACAGCCCCATGATCATTCAGAGCACGCGTTGTATAGTTCCTGCTTCAGGTCTTTCAGCGCCTTGGACAAGGCTGGGTTGGCTGCACGTTGCAGCCACCACAATTTGCCGGCAAATGGGACGAAGGGTGTGATGACGCAGGCTCTCCGGCGCCACTGGGAGGAGCAAGTCGATTTGGCAACGCGGTTGGCAACAGGCGTGCTCCCAGACCGTTCCCTTCGTGGTGATAATGCAGCTGCTGGTGCCAACGGTGCCGAAGTGGTGGCTTCAGCGACCCATGATGCCGTGGACAGGGCTCAGCCAGGTGCAGCTGCAGAATGGCTTGCGTCCTGCAAGGAGGATGGCAGCGCAAGCTCATGGTCTTCGTGGGGTTCCCCGCTGACGGCTGAGACGGCTAGCAAAAACGTTGCTACAGATTCAAATGATGCCGTCGAAGCTGCGCGAGATATCTTGGGCAAGGCAAGATTAGAAGCCGATGAAGTCTGTAGACAAGTTGGTGTAAGTCCAAGGCGCACTGTTGCAACGCAAGCAGCCTGGACTCAACCTCCTATGTGACGTGCTGACGTGACAGATTCGTGTGATTCCCAAAATCTCGTATACAAAGCTCATATGTTCCAGTTTCAATTCAATAGATTAGATGTTCAGCAGATGTCAGTCACACAGAGTCATACGAGGCAACAGGTAGCCAAGCTAGTTATCCATTTTTGGTGAAATTGAGAAATCGTCCAGACGCTGACAAGCCTCAGCTTCAAGCCTCGGCGCTGGCACTCGCATTTTGCAGTTGCGCGCAGGCAGTGCAGATTGATAAAAGGTCCGGTTGAAGCCATGGAAGCTAGTTGAAACTTCCAGGTCATGCCGAGTCATACCTGTATGATACTGGATACTGTATGTATCTTTAGCACTGTGTCGCTGTATGGCTGTATGTACTGTATCATTTGTGTGTGACATAATTACATTCATCACTGGCTGACTAGCTTTCATTGTGAGTGTTACCACCCCCCCCAGTTCCTTGTTGTTTGTGCCTGGCGTGCAATCCCAGGTGGCAAGATTCGTTTGGAGAAGCATATCCCCACCGCTTTCGCAAACGTGAAGGCAAGCATTGCCGAGTTCTTCACGGGGAAGGACCAGCGACGGGGCTTATGGCGATCCATTTTCTATGTCGCTTCCGCTTTCTTGACAGGGCAGCAGAGGCCTGGCCTGAAGCAACCAATTTCCGGAAGCGTGCAGGTGTCAAAGACTTGTAGTAGTTGAAGTTGCTGTTTGGCGCCAGGTCTTTCCAGCGCGACGTCCTCTGCCGAGATGATGAGAGCCAGGAGCCGGTGCCTGCGCTTCCGCATCCACAGAGAGGGGCCCGTGTCTGCAACATATCCTTCGGATGGGATGAGACCAAGCAGGCGCACGTTACAAATGCTCGCCTGCAGAAGGGTGGAGAGGAAGGGACGGAGCGGCTCTGCTTTTCTAGCCTAGGTACATTTGTGCTTATGTGGTCTCGGTCTGACAGCTTATACGCGGCTATTCTACAGGCATTACATGTTTGGGGCAGGAGTCTGTTTCATGTGTAGATTCATTCCTAAAGTCGACCCAGGCTGACCCAGGCAAGAAACAAGTTAATATAAGAAAATGTTTATCTTGGAGCTGAACGTTATCAGTGTTACACTGGGCCAGCGGCCAGTGCTAGCTCGCTAGACTGACTTGACTAGACTACAGTCTGTAATAGTCTATAGTCTAGAGTCTAGAGCCCATAGTGTCTGATAGTCTTGTGGTCTTAAGAGTTTTACAGTTTTACAGTCATCTATACGTCCACATTGTATACTAGTCTATGTCTATGCCGTTTATGCCTATGCCTTGCCGCTATACGCCTATCCCGAGCCCATCACATGCACATTTGTACCGTAATGGACCGTAATCATACCGTATGAATCATACTCATACCCCTGTAAGAGTAAGTACCGTTAGCCCTTAGCCAGTTCGGCTGACTTGGTACTGCTGCCAGCAGAAAATTGATGCAGGTTTTGTCCAGCCTTGCCACAGCTGTCAATATGTGTTTTGTTTTTTTTCCAGGCAGGCACCAGGTTAGGTTAACAGTTAACACTGCCATTTGAGCCATTTGGGCCGGCCATTTCCATGATTCGTCCAAGGCCAATGACTGCCGAAGACCTTCCAGGCTATCGTAGACGCCTGGAGCGTACTGGTCCCCGGGAATACATCCATTCAATGGTGAGCGCAGGTTCAATTTCATGGACAGATGGTACTTGTGCCCAGCGTCAGGAAGAATTGAACTTCCCACCTCGCAAATTGACAAGTACTTCAGCGGCCCATGTGGGAGCAGCAATGTTGGAGAACTTTGAGTCCTACCTCTTTGGACAGAAGCTTCCTGATGCATTACAGGACTTGGCAAATCAGTTCCAGTCCATTGGGTTTCATTGTGTGGCTGACTCAGCTTCCGCCAACATCAAGATGATGCGGAGGCTTTTTAGCTACTTGGTCCAGAAAGGCAAAGATATAGGGGTTGTCATCACATGCTTTTTCAGTCCTTGCCTACTTCATCAAGTAATGCGGCTCGTGCTACTCTTGATGGAGCAGCAAGCTGTCTCGCCGGCTTTATTTTCGATTACCAGACTCCAGTTGAGCAGCGCTGCTAAGCAGTGTACCATGCAGACCATGAAGGTATTGCTGGAGCAGCGGTTCCGCTATTTCCCAGACAGCTCTCCACCTCAGCTGCCCGCAACAGCAACATACTTTCGGAGACGGCTGAAGGAGCTCTTCCGTGGTGGTTTGGACAACATCATCGAGGATGACGAGGAAACTTTCGAGCGGAAGGCGACCCATGTCGAGCGGCTTGTCGATTTCTTCAATGGAGACTTGGGAAACAAGAAGGAGTGGGCGCATTACTGCTCAGGACCTGGCTGCCACCAAAGCCGGCAGCATGCTTTCAATGATGTGCCTTGCCAATTCCGCAGTTCCTGGATATCTTGCGCTAGTTAGGTTGGACATCTCATCATCTCATCTCATGTGAAAGTGTGGCTGGCTGGGTTATGTATCATGTATCTATGTCATAATTAGTCAATTTCTTCTATACATACCTGATCTGATCATATTAAATCATAAACTTATAGTAGACTAGACTATACTATACGACTAGACTATACTGTATCGACTATACTCTACTACCTATAATGAGTAATTGGAATTCGAAATAGGCAAACAATTTCCATAGTCCATAGTCATAGGAGTCATAGGCCAGTCATACGCACCGTGTAAGCTAATAGGCAGTTTAGGCTTAGGCAGCATAGGCATGTGGGCCGCGTGCGGTGATTGAGGATTTGGGACCTAGCGCAATTCATTTTACTGTTCAATGATAATGGCTTTCAATGGTTAATTAGATATGGTCCTGGTATGGCTTGACTCGTGAGCTCCTGTGACTCGTGTGTAGCTTGGTACACGTACAGGCGGTATAGTACAGGCTATCACGCGTATTATATGGTATTAGATGTCTATCTAAGCAATGTTCGTGGCGACGGCGCGGTGGCCGTGAGCTATAGGGGCTATACTGTGCTATACGACCGTACCATGGGGCACCGTGTCGGCGTCGCAGTCTTTAGTGTCCTTCTCACCACTTAGTGCAGCGGGCGCAAGCAGCCAGCTAGTAGTACCAGCTATATGGAAGCGAGCCAATGGGAGCCTTAGATCATTAATTTTTTTCTAGGCAGGGTGTTGCTCCTACCTTTTCCCGACTTCTACCGCTTCTACCCATGCAAAATCACCAGCCGTGATGTTTGAACTGTATAACTTTCCAGTTAAACCGAGGCATGGGCATTGTTGCAGAATGTCTTCAGCTTGAGTGGCAGCCCAGTCTTCCAGCCAAGCCGGTGGACGCAAGTTACCCCTGCGATTTCACATTGGTCCTTGGGTTTGGCAGTTCATGGGGTACTAAGCGAAAGTTTCCTGCGCAGCAATGTGCTGGCGCAGGACCGGCTTCAAAATCTCTTGGTGCTATGGTTTCACTCCGGATTTAGGGGTTGGGGATTGAGGGTTCAAGGTTTTTAGCGCTTGTGATTTCGGGCTCAGGGCTGAGGGTTTAGGATTTAGGCTTTAGAATTTTTGGCTCAGGGTTTAGGATTTGAAGCCTGTCCACTCTAGTGGGCTGCGCCAGCTACATCAGAGATTTCCCGTTCAAATTAAAGGACGGGGCCCAAAGGTCCAGGACGTAGGCAGAATCGTTACGCGGGTTCGCGCGCTCTCACTAATTTGGCGCAAGTTGCCAGCAGTCGCAAGGATGGGCGCGTTTTCCAGCTTGCCAACAGTCACAGGGATGGGTCTTCATAGAATCGTGGCGTGGAGGAGAGGAAGGGGAGGGAGGAGGCTAGGGCGAGAGGACCAGAGAGAAGCACAGAAGGCGCTCCTAGAAGAGAGAGGGTGGAGAGGAGGGGAAGGAGGAAAGGATGAGAGGAGGAGGGCGGAGGAGGAGAGGAGGAGGGGCGAGGAAGAGGGCAGGGCAGGGCAAGGCAGGGGAGGAGGAAGAGGCGGAAGTGGAGAAGAGGAGGAGCAGGAGAGGAAGAGAGGTCCTGATGTCATGTACGCGATTCGATTTCATGAGTCTTGTTTTGAGTCTTCCAAACGGTTTAAGGCTTCAACTGCAGCCGCTGCTGCATGCCCTGCGGTGGCGGTTGGGTTTTCCTGCTTCAAGCTTTGGTTAAAGAACCTGCAATTCGTAGGACAGACATTATAATCATCCCTCTATATATATCGCCTATCGCTACACTGTGATGTACTCCGTCCGCTTAGTAGATACCATCCCATTACCATGTAAACATTTTTGGGGACGGAGCCGAAAACACACTCAGAAATGGCCCCTCAAGTGCCCTCAAGAATGTCGCGGTTCAGTGATGTGGGTTTAGGTTCAGAGCAATTGCAATGATGTTTTCGTGCTCCTGTGAGGAAGCGGAAAACCGCAACAGGCAAGCCGAGCAGGACCTTGACTCCTACGCGCAAACCATGAAAGTCAGGAAATCTAGATCAGACGCATTTCTCAGAGATCCCAAGGCCACCTTCTGCCTCCTTTCGATGTTGACCCTGCATTTGCTTATCCAGAGGATCACTTAGGTGGCGTTCAAACTTATCAACTCCGAGCGCGAGAAGTTGGGATTCCCGCGTGATGGCGCCGAGAGGGCCCGGCACGCCAAGCGCAGGAGGTTGTCCATGAAAGGTTTGGAGCCCGCGTCACAGCCCAGAGCAGCGGATGTGCAGAGTCAAAAGTTCTCTCTTCAAGATATCTTGACTGCGTCGCGGGGTGTTGTTCGGGACTTGTGGAAGCTACTAGACTGCGATGAATCCCGCTCACTGTGGTCCGTTGCAGCATACTTTTGGCCAGCAGACCAGCCGCAGGACGAAATGCTAGCAGCATTGACAGGCCATAGTCTGAAGACTCTCGCAGCCTTGAAATTCCGAATCACGATGAAGTTTGACTTCCCCCCGTACTCCCTCCTGGGCATGTCTGCGGCTTCGGATGTGGGACAGGGAGACGAAGCAGGTGAGCCTGATCCGAGAGTGGAGGCCTTCTTGCGGATGCCTCCCTGTTGTTTGGACCCATTTTGGGGCCAAGTGGTTCAGAGCGATGTCAAGAATGGGGTTGACTCATATGGAGCCTTGGATGACTACGTTGCTACTTTCGAGAAGCATGGCCGAGTTGTCAGCCTCAGGGAGGAAGCAGCGCATGCCTTGCAGCGGAAGCTTGCTGGTGGTTTCATAGCCAAACCAAGGGCTTTTGATCGCCAAGCAGCTTCAATGGTCTTGTGCACCGCTCAGGAGCACTTCACAGCCCGAGGCGGCAAATGCTTGAAATCTGCAGCGCATCGCATTCAAAACGCCATGGAGGTGGTACGGAAGAAGAAGATCATCCATCACCGTCCCAAGCAGTTTGGCAGTGGCATGTTTGCCTTCATTTCGCATCAGCTGAAGACGCATCCCGGGAGCTCAAGGGAGCGGTGGCGCACAGCATGGAAGGACATGTCCTTGCAACAAAGGTCACCTTGGAATGCAAGGCACCGAATGGCTGTTGCAATTCGGCGCGAGCAGAGAGCGGCAGAGGTGGCCCAGCGCCATGAGCAAGCTGATGAATCCTCCAACACACCCTGGAAGCTCGGAGACAAGCAGTTTCCCTTGACGACCGCCTGGGTTCGCAAGCTGCTGGCCCCCTTCGCGTTGAAGCGCACAGGGCGTGCAGAGCTGGAGAGAGTCGGGAGTAAGGATGCTGAGCGCGTTTTGGATGCTGCGACCTACAACTCTGCGGATGCCTGCGAAGCCAAATGCAAAGCTCACTTGGGTTTGATAGTGGACGATGAGAATGCTGCTGCCAGCAGTTGGTCTCAAGTGCTAGAGTTCCCAGTGGCCAAGGATGCGTGCTTCAACCTACATCCTGGTCTTTGTCAAGGGCGTGATGCGTGTGTTCTTGACAACATGAATGCCTTCATGAGCCAGATCCCCAAGCGTGGCGCCCTCTTGAAGTTTGAGAGAGCTGGATTCTGGATGTCGAGCCAACCAGAAAATCGCAGTGTTCTTTCGT